AATTTGTGCTTTGGTATTATTGGTGATATTAAGCTTCACTACCCAAGATTTAAAATCAGTAAATCTACCTTGCAGATTTGTCATACTCAATAAAGAAATTGGTATCTATTCCATTATATGTCAAAGTTGTTTCTCTTGTACCCTACATTATAAGAGTCAAAATTTAGGCTGCATGTAAATATAGTTGTAGTTTTTAAATAAAGTGTGTAATCAGTTTCTTAAGTTCAAAACTTTATTTTTGAATTAGTTTTACCTTCATTGTCAGCACAAATAGCAAGGCAACACAGGGATTTGAACCCCGTCCCATATATGGGAGTACCAAATACCATTGCCTTTTGCTTTTTTGTAATTTGACAAGGTAAAGCAAAACTTGCATTAAGAACAGCATGGGAAAAAAATCAAGTGAAAAATTTTAGGTGTTCAAAACTACTGTTATCATTAGATCAAATTTTATATTTGTCATTTCCAAATATTTTAAGTGTAATTTCAATAAATGCTGTCTTAATGCAAGAAACAAAACCTCTAGTCTATGAACACAGGAGCATTTAATAAAGTATTTTGTACATTATAAACTAAGGTTTGCATGAGAAAACAAAAATACAAGAGAACTACATAACAAATTTTGGATGGTGGTATTTTAAATGCATTTTAATTCAGCATAAAAGTTTTCATCATAATTTCAATTGTCTATTTGAATTAAACATTTCAGACATGTTAAGTTATACAAATTGTCACCATTATCCACATATCCTGTGTGTGAATAATTTAACAAAAACTGAAAGATATCTGTCTACTGACAAGTTGATTAGAGTTTCAAGCCATGTGGTGTGTGTTTAGGTCTGTCAATGTTTTTGGTGCATAATAAAGCTGTACAGCCTTTCCTTTTTATGTTTGYTGTAAAATACTGACACATTTAGACACAACTGCCCTGTGATAAATTACATGGAGTCAGTATTAAGATCAACCTGACTTTTTATTTGTACACCTAATTATAATTACATCACGTGAATTTCTTTTATCAAATATTTCACATTAATTGAATTTAATTCAGTTTATGTAGCACCAAGTCTAAATCTAAAGAAGCCAGCAGATTGTGTTGAATCTTTATTTCACCACAGTCTCCCATCCTGAGCAGCGCATTAGTGACAGTGGAGAGGAAAAACTCCCTTTTAACAGGAAGAAACCTCCAGCAGAACCAGGCTCAGGACAGGCGGCCATCTGCCTCGACCGGCTGGGTTTGGGGACAGGAAAGAGACAGATAAACACAGGAGGACTGGTCCAGGTGCATCTTCTTCTGAAAGAGAGAGAAAACATGTTATCGATGGAAATAATTACAACAAACATTTCAAGGAGCTTGGTTGTTGAGAGTTTCTATGCTACGACAACAGATGTTATAACTTCTCTTTATAAAGTTTTCATAAAATTTCTTATAGTTTTGACACATTTTAAATATGTCAAGAGAGGGATTGAAGAAATTTTGTAACTGATTAATTGAATATTTGATTCAGTTTTGTGTTTTATACTTTCTGATCATTTCAGTCTGTAAGGTTAAAACAGACAAAGACTTGGTGTCTTATCATGTGTTCTTTCTTTTAGCCTAAACAAAACTGAGTACGTTCTGACGTCTGACGTAAAAGGTAACACCTCCTGGGGTGTAACCAGGAAGGGATGAACGTTGGTTACGTATTGTAACCCCAGATTCTATGAGTGTAAGCGCAGCCCTCTAAGGCTATCGCAGATGGGTACCCCCGTGCGCGTACGCGCATTCTGAAGATCAATAGT